TGTTCTCTGGAGCAGTTTCAGATGGGATCCCAGGCTCACCTCCCACTCAGGAGAGTTTCGGTGTACAGATGTTTCCTTCTGGCGATTGTAAAACAGCGGACACACAAACAGGCCAGGGGGAAGCTAAGGGGCCAGCCCTGAGGCCTGGGCCCTGCGTTTGGGTTTATCAGAGTAGGAGAAAGAGCCGAGGATCGGGAAGGTAGGAAAGCAATAGAGGCTTTTGAGTGAATGTATCAGTGAGCACGGACAGAACTTGAATGTAGTTTATTTGTTTAATAAACACGTATCAGATGCAGCGACTGGGTCATTCATTCACTCACTCTTCCATTCAATAGGTGTTTCTCGAGGTCCCACTTTGGGCCAGGCTCCTCGGCCATCTGGGAATACGAGGAGGAGCACACACCGGCCATCTCTGCACGCAGAGGACATAAGAGTCCGGCCAGAGAAACGGGGGGCAGACAGTTTCCCAGCTCAGTGTTTAATCATAAATCCTGCTACGGCAGGGCGTGCAAGAGGCTGGGACAGGTGAGATGACCTCACGGGGCACTCCCCTGCTGAGACAGGATTGACATGGAGCTGAGAGGATAACTGGGTGCTTGTTGGGGTGCAGTTGTGGGGGAGACAAGTCCAAGCAGAGGGCCCTCCGTGGGGAGTGAGTTGGAGCTCGGGGGAAAGGGTGTTACCAGGGAAGGGTGAGGAACAGTGGGAGGCAAGACTGTGGGGGAGAGGGCCCCCCAGAGAACCAGGTGGCCCTTGAGGGGGGAGGTGGATACATTCAGATTTACCCTGAAAAAGCTCCCATTGGCCTCAGTCTGGCGTGTGGCATTTCTGGGGCCAGTTAGGTGAATCATGGGGTGGCTTCTCTTCCACAGCTCTCTACTCCCCACACCTTGTACACACCTATAATCTGATCGGTCATTTAACGTTTCTTGAGAGTGACGCTCTCTTGGGCACCGGGGATACACAGCACCTCCTCGGAAGACACGGAGTCGTGGCCACCTCCATGTTGCTCTCCATTCTGAGCTCCCGTGTGTCCACACCTTTGCTCTGTGCCACTACCACCCTGGACTCTGGGCTCAGCCACGTGTGCTGCTTTGCTTGGGTGCTAGCAGATGTGGGGTAGTCGTGGCTCCCAGGGGCTCAGTTGGTCAAGGTCACCCTCTTGCCTTCCACCACAGCCGGGAGTCAGCCCCCGTGGAGCAGAGCCGCCAAGTCAAGTTCAGCTGTCCTGTTTGTTAGGCAGCAGTAGCTGACTGACGCACAAGCACACACTCCAGTCAGAGGCCTGTAGAGGGAGAGCTGCAGGTGCAGGCCTGCTGGAAAGCAGGGCTCCTGTTTATCGACATTGTTGGTTCCCAGGGGATGGCTTGGCCAAAAGACAGGAGACCACCGAGGTCAAATCCTGGCGCTGGAATCGTCTGTGTTCACGGCTGTTGGTTATTCTTTCGGCATCCCAGGCTCCGAAGGCCCCTCTAAAGTCCGGGGACGGGACAGCTCCCAACAGAAGACGTGAAAGTGTTCCACGCTCACTTCCCAGCCGCCTTTCAAGCAGGGTGGGGACATGACCTAGGCTGAGCCAGCCAGAGGCACAAGCCCTGCTCTGAATGGCAGAAAGTAACAGAGTCCACGTGGTGGAGCTGCAGCGGCCCTGAGGCCCTCACCCCAGGTCTCCTTTCCAGGGCGCAGCCCTACTGTGGTTCTGAGCCCTCCGAGGAATGATGAGGCCTCCCTCCTCTCCATTAACTTAAAACTACATTTTTCTATTTAAATCAGTCAGTGTTCAGTTCTGATGCCTGAAATCCCGCATCCTGGCTAATGACATTAGGTGGCTCAGAGGCAAAAGTGAGTATTTTTGAGCTGGAGAGTGACATTAGGATAATTGGTTCTTGAAGGGGAAGGACACCAGGGTTCCCTTTGTGTGTGCACATGAGACTTTCAGCTGTTAACGGGTAAACAAACTCCATCGACGAGAAGCCAACTTACCGTGAGCTGCACAAGAACCCTCCACCGTTCAGGAAGTCGCGCTAAGCCTAGATTTGAGCACAGAGGCCTCCTGCCTCTCCTCAGAGGCAGGCCTCGCCTGGCTGAGAAGTGGGCCTCCAGAACACGCCCGGGCCCCCTTCCCCACATTCCCAGCCAGACAGGTACAGGGGCCTCAAGCTGAGCTTGGGTCGGGGACAGGGCGGTGGGCAGGACTGCCCCGCGGGCCTGATCCAGGTGGAGTTTCACATGGAGATGGGAAAAGCAGGCCAGGAAACGAGGCAGGCAGGGACGCGTTGTAGTTCCGCCATGACTTCATTCCTTCTTAAGGCTGAACAGCACAGGCCAGTTGATGGGCATCTGGGCTGTTTCTAGTTTTTGACTATTTTGAATAAAGCTTGAATGAACAGTCACATTCAGATCCTGTGTGGACATGTATTTCATTGCTCTTAGGTAAATACCCAGGAGTGGAATTCCGGGTTGAGTTGGGAGTGTCCGGTCAGCGCGGTCAGCATTTTAGGAACATGTTTATAAGAAGCTCTTTTCCAAAGTGGCTGCAGCAGCCCACAATGCTACGAACAGTCTGAGGTGCTGGTTGCTCGGTGGTGGTGGTGTAGACCTTGATCTCTCTATTATTAAGTTCTAATTCCATGCCATCCTCTAAAATATTACTATTTGAATTAAAAAAACATTCAAACATTTTATTACTATTATTTATCTGGCTATGCTCTCTTGCTAAATGAACACTATATATATATTGGAATGGATCCTTATGCAAAGTGGCTTTTATCGTGTTATTTCCCAGACATCTTCAAGGTGTCTTCCTCAAGAACCCAAACGTGTCATTCACCACATGCTGCCAGCAGGGGGCGCGCGTCACCCACAATTAAACCTCACTCCCTACCCCAGGCAGGGGGCGCTGACGCCGGGCTGTCCCGCAGCAGATAGAGGGCAGGAGTTGATATTGATCTTTCCTGAGTGAAACTGTTCAGGGTCAGCAATGCCTTCACCTGAGCTGGGGACCTGAGTAGTCTAAAAAGCCAGGCAGGAGCAAAGCTGGCTGGCTGCCGGGAGGGATGTGAGTGCAGACGGCTGCTAAGGTGCCTCACCCCATTCCTGAGCAAGCTTTCCCCTTTCCCATCCGGGTTCCCCATTGGAATCGCCTTTTTGGATCAGCGCACAAAAAAAAAAAAAAAAAAAAAAAAAACAAAAAAAAAAACCCACGCACGTGATGCTTCTAGAAGGCTGAGGTTAGCACACCTCCTTAGCTAGGGAGCACAGTGGTCCTCAATAATGACTACTTCAGCATCTCCTGGGAGCTTTGAGAACTCCCAGGTCCAGGCCGCACTCCAGGACGGGTAATTAGCATGTCCGGGGATGGGGCCCTGCATCAGCCTTTGAAAAGCCTCCATGATTCAGCATGTACCTGGAGCTCTGCACCCTGGGAGCTTGCAAACCTCCTTAACGCATGAGAGCTTCTCAAGGTAGTGGTCACCCGGGAGGGTTTAGGTCACTGTGACTCCCAAAGTCAGCACACATAAGTGCCCCACGGGAGGGGAAGTTGTGGAAAATAGAGATTTACTGTTTCCTCTTCACAATTTGGTTCAGTAGTAGGTCTGGGGTGTGAAGTTAGGGTTGGGGCAAAAAAAAATTTTATTTTGATGAGTTTTTCCAGAAATTCTAAATCCAGATGTGTCTGGAGTCACACTCTAGGCCACATAGTCTTTTGCAGAGCATCTCAGTGGGGAGACTCAGAGCTGGGAGGGAGGGTGGTGGGATGTGGAAGCTGGACTTGTGAGGCCACAAGGCCAGGGCTTAGTGCCTAAGGCCAAGTTCTGCCAGCCTTGCTCTCCCCGACAGGGGAGGAGAGTTTTTCTAGCATTTCAGGGTGCTAGCAATCTTCCTCATTGTAAGAAGCCTTAATAAAGTCCTAATTAAGTGTCTTAATAGAGTCTTAATGGGTGAAACAAGCAAGGGAGCGGGGCTCGGTGGCCCGGAGGGGAAGCGCCCTTGCTGACGGAGGGTGGAGCGGGGGCCCTGGGCCCAGGTCTGATTCAGAATCCCCCATGTGGGCTCTGGCGGAGGAGCTGAGGGCTGAGAGGACTTGGTGTCCTGGGTGGGCTCTCAGGGGTTTGCTCTCTCCCTGAAGGTGCGGAGAACACTACGGGCAGGTGGAGAGAGCTAGGTAGAGTAGGTGGTGGCTAATCTGCTGCTGTGTGGGCACTGAGCGCTCACCCAAGACGCAGAGGGATCCCTGGCATCCTGGACTCTGGTTCAGCAATGCATCCAACTCGTGACTCAGAGGACACTTTGTGGGTTGTTTGGGTGCTCGTCGGCAGGCCCCCCTGGCTAAATGGCCACTTCCAGAAGCCAGCAACCTCGAGGAGCTGGAAACCGAGGAAGAGAATGACAAGGACCCAGCGAGAAGCTGGCCTCCTCTGTAAGACGATCAGACTGTTGAATAATGGAGAATGATGGAGGCCTCTGAGCCAGGAGCTTGGCAAGTCAGGGCCCTGCCTGCCTCAGAACGGCCTCAGGCTGGGGCATCTTTCATGGCTTCAGGGTTTTATGAACTTAGGGGGTTCTCCATGGCGGGAGGTCCTCAGTGCACACCTGGGTTAACCTGGAGGGATCTCAAGTCCCCCTCCCTTGGCTGTGAGGCCCCATGGGAAACAGATGCTAAGGACTCCATGTCACCTGACGCCCCAGGAAGGAAGGAGAGAGGTGTGGGGGTGGGGGGCGAGGGGGGGTATGTGTGCGGAGGAGAACAGCCTGCTTCGTTCCCCATGAATAAGTGATGAGGCCCGAGGAGAAGCCCCAGGTACAGGAGCAGGTAGCCAGCAAGGGGGTGGCAGAGTGGGGCCCCAGGGGAGCAGGGCCAGTGCTGTGGGCACAGAGCTCTCAAGGGCGGGCTCTGGCTCAGCCAGACCTGGGAGCTCTGGGGAAGAGGTGGCTGGCCCAAGGTCCAGTGAGGTGTGGTTCGGTGAGCCCATGAGTGTCGGGAAGGGGAGGCTGGCAAAATGATGCCCCAGAAGAAAAAGAGGAGAAAGAAAGACATCGACTTCCTAGCCCTGTATGAGGAGGAGCTGCTGAACTATGCCTCAGAAGACGACGACGACGAGCTGGAACACGAGTACTATAAGGCCAAAGGTATGTGCCCCCCCCGCCCCCCCCCCCCCCCGTCTCCCACCCCATGGCATGAGGGAGGGGTGGAGTGTGCAGGGACTTGCCCCTTTTTGGAGGGAAGAATTTTAGGCGTCAACCCCCTTCTCAAGTTATCCCACCACATCTATGCTACAGCCCCTCGGAGTAAACAGGGCGGCCTTGAGGCGCTGAGCCCCCCGTACAGAGAAACAGGCACGCGGGCGGCACAAAATCGTCCAGAACTGAGGTGCCCTGGTGGTTGTCCAGGCGGAGCCCCCTGGTGTGTGCCCAGCTCCTCTCTCAGCATTACATCTGAGGTTTACCCATGTAGTGTCACATTATCCAGTTTGTTCTTTTCCAGTCTGTACCATTGCATTTTATAAATGCATCAGCCTTGATTCAACCACTCTGGTGCTGATGGACATTTGGGCAATTGCTAGTTTGTAGCTATTTTGCTACAACTTTTGCATGTACTCCTATCTTGGATGCATAACTGGAAGCAGGATTTCTGGGAGAGGTTGGGAGCACGCTGGCTAGCTGTGCTGATTCCAGTTGGCACTGTAGCCACGCACAGGAGTAACTACAGTCTTGCCCGTACTTACTGCTGTCGTCTTTTCAACGTTAGCCACTCTGGTGGGTAGGTAGGAGATGCCATTGTGTCTCTTGTAGTTTCAATTTGCATTTCTCTGATGAATCATGAGGCCTAACACTTTTCCATGTTATCAGTCATTCAGATGCTCTCCTTATGACATGCCTGTTTAAGGCTCTTGTCTGCTTTCCAGCTTTCTCAAAATATAATTTACTTCATGATAAAATGAAACTACCTTATATATGTTGTTTGATGAACATTGACAAATGGACACAGCTATCCAGCCACTAACAGTATCTGTAGAGACAACGTTTAAATGTTACCCATCTGTGCCTCTTCCCAGAAATTTCTCCCTAATTCCAACTCTAGGCAATCAGGGTCTCCTTTCTATTGTAATAAATTCGATTTGATTTTCCTAGAGGTTCATGTAAATGTCATAGCATAGTGTCTAAGTTTCTACATCTGAATTTTTCCCCACCAGCGTAGTCTTTTCCTCAAGCACTTCCATGCTTGGGATTGAGGTGTGCATCAATACATCATTCTTTTTTATCGCTGAGTAGTATTCCATTGTATGGATATGCCGCATCTGTTTGTTCACTCATCTGCTAATGGACATGTAAGCTGTTCATCATTCCAGCATAAAGTTGCTGCGAGCATTTATGGACAGGCCTTTGTATGGACGTGCCTTTACTTTACTTCTCTTGGGTAAATATGTTAAAGTGGCCTTTCTATGTCTTACGCTGGGCCTATGTGTATCTTTTAAAGAAATTCTTACCCATTCAAGAAATTGTGTGGTTTCTCTTTTTCTTATTGATCTGTGTGAATTCTTTATATCTTCCGAATATGAGACTCCTGTTGGTTATATGCATTCCAATTATTTTCTGATCTACGATTTGCCTTTTGTTCTCTTGATGGCCTTAATTTCAAGTAAGCCTGATATGTCAAAAACTTTATTAAACGTTTAAATTTTTTTACATCATTGCTCCATTTGTGTATTGCCCTCTGGTGTAGCCCCTGTAAGTCTCCCATCACCACCTCGATTGGGAACCGTGACCACGGTTCCCTGTGCTCTTCCCTCCCCTGTTTTGATCCCTCTCTGCTCCTGCCCTCTGTATGCCTCAGATCTATCGTTGCCTACAAGTTTGTTCTTTTCACTTTTTTCAGGTTTTTTTTTTGACACTTGGTTCAGATTCCTTATATTCTCCTGTAAATGATACCATGTGATGTTTTTCTTTTTCCTTCTGACTCTATTATGTCCAAATTTTAATGGCTAATGTCCCATTGGAATGGCTGCATACTCTTGAACCATCCATTGAAATCATTTCATCACCCCTCTCCTGGACCCCTAAAGCCCCTTTTTTTCCAATCCAATCACCCCCAGACCTCTGTATCGTCTCTTGTGTGATGTGGCTTTATGATTCGTCTCTGCTGGCCATTTTCCCATGGGCATTTGGTTTAGAAATAGCCTTGTATATGTGCAAGTCATGTGGGCAATTCTCCAAATCCTGACTCAGTCCCGGGGGCGAGGAGGTGGTTCTGGAGCTCGTTTGCAGATCAGCTACCTATGGGTGTAGACTTTGAAGAAATAAGGCTTTGGTTATTCCAAAAGACAGGGACTCACATAAATGTCTTACTTCTTTCTCTCCCGCATCTCATCAGATCTTCATTAGAACCAGGGAAATTAAAAGAAAAGGTGTCAATAGCAAAGGTCACAAGCTTCAAGGGGACAAAATGGGGCAAGTCAGTACCTCAGCCAAAGAGGGATGCACTGGCAAAGCTCTGCCCACCCAGCCCTGAGGTGGCTTGTCCTGGGTTGCAATTACCATGCCCAGGCATCATGGGAGTGTTGGTAAGGCTGCTTCATTGTGTAGAGGGCAGAGGACCAAGAGGGAGGGGAGAGGCAGGCACAGGCCCAAGGACTGGGAGAGCATCATGTGCTGGGTAGACAGAGTGCAGACGGGGCATTCAGAGGCTTGGCCCCGGCTCCAGCGTGTGGCCTGGACTCTCTGCCTGCCTTAGCTCCCTCACCTGTAAAGTGAGGCTGCAGCATTAAGTGTGTGATGCTGGTCTCCTGGTAGAACTTGTGAGTGTGTGTGTGTGTGGGGGGGGGTCTCATGCTGGCTCAGAGACTGGCCACTTGTCACAGGGGTTCACAGAGTCCCTGGGGCTGGACACCCCGGAGGGCTGCAGGAGCCTGCCTGCCTCCTCTGTACCTGTAGGGCTCTGGCTTCCTTCTGAGCCCACAGTGTCTGTTCCTCTCCTCCTCCAGTGTACGAGGTAGTCATAGCCACAGGGGACGTGCGTGGCGCAGGGACAGATGCCAACGTCTTCATCACCATTTTCGGCGAGAATGGACTCTCTCCCAAGCTCCATCTTACCAGCAAGTGAGTACCAGCTCAGCCTTGACGATCCTGGACCACCAGTCAGGCTGACGCAATCTGGGACCCAGGGGAGAAGACATATGTGACCACAGTCTACTGAGTGGTAGGAGCTTTGCTGATGGCAGACGTGGCCCTCCCCCGTGAGCTCCTACCGACTTACTAAGCTCCTGTCTTGATTTTGTGGAGCACTGACTTCCCCAGTGTTCCTCTTACTGCCCCAGGTGTGCAGGCCGGGAGACCCAGCTGGGTCCAGCTTTATCATAGGTGCCATGTGATGCAGGCCATCTGGCCTCCCAGACCTTGGCTTCCCCATCGGCCATTGGAAAGTGGTAATTCTCTTTTTGTCAAAGTCAGGCATTAGGGAGGAGAAACTATAGGGGGCACGTGGGGGAGCCAGGAGCTGAAAAAGCTGTGCCCCATCCTCTCATCTGGGGACCAGCAGTCAAATGCATTCGACATGTGTGTGTGTGTGTGTGTGTATGAGAGAGAGAGAGAGAGAGAGAGAGAGAGAACTCTCTTTGTGGTCCTCCTTGACACCCAGCACAACAGAATGGCGCAGTGGATATCAGCATTCAGCACTGTCCGGAGGCTGGATGGTGGACCAGTCAGCGGGTCTTCTGTCTACACTGCGTGGAGTTGGGCACTGATCCACTGGTTCTGGCCCCACCAAGCCCTCACCGCTTCTTCTCCCAGAGCAGTTCAAATTAACAGTGATCTCACTCACTGAATTTTCTGAGTTAGATTTGGCTATTGGAGGTCAAGATTTCCTGAGCCAAGAATAACTTGAAAACCACTAAATCTATGTCTTTTTTTTTTAATTTTATTTATTTATTCATACAGAACTGGGGTACAGGCCAGAGGTGCAGGTGTGGCGAGAGGCTTTACCAGAGATAGAGTGGGGAGCAGAACAGGCAGATCGACGAAGCACACTGCTGAGGGGAGCAGCGGGCGGTGCAGGTGTGGTGAGAGGCTTTACCAGAGATAGAGTGGGGAGCAGAACAGGCAGATCGACGAAGCACACTGCTGAGGGGAGCAGCGGGCGGATCAGGAGAGGTCTGCCGCGCCATGTGGATCAGCTCCCTGACAGGGGGATTGAACTCACACTAAAACGGCTGTGGCCAGCTTGCAGTGCTGCATCCTAACCCATTGCCTCACCAGGGAGGACCCTAAATCTATGTCTTTCAATGACTACAGGAGGAAAATGAGGCCAAGAGCGGAGAAGCAGTTAGCTCTGAGTCACAGAGCCTTTGGATAGTAAAGCTGGCCCTTAACCCCCAGGTTTTTCTGGAGGTATTTTCTTCCAGCTCACAGCCCTGTGGCCCCAGAAGGGACATGGGGACCCCTTGACAGCCTCCTGTGGCTACAGGTTGTGACCTCTGGAGTTTGGGGCTGAGCACTTCCAGATGTCACCGGGGAGTTATAGACAGGTGGGCTCCACGGGCCAGGAGCGCCTCCCGGACTTGGTGCTTGGCAGCCCGGCCAGGCCTGGGTTCGGGGTACACCTAGCCTTTGAGCGGTGGCATCCAGGCAGCGTAACGCCCTGTTTTGTCCGTTTCTGCAGAACAGGGTACCCGCCTTCTCGTGCTGCCTGCACTATGGAGTGACGTTTGCAGAAGCCCTTTCCTGCCGTGATGTGGGCACGGTAACATGCATACATGAAATACCCATCCTCTTTGCCATGCTCCCCAGAATGCACCCCTTTAGGGAGAAGCCAGGAGACACAGGGGTGATGGCCAAGCTCGTTTCTGGAGGCCCCAGCCTGACTTTTTAAAAACAAAGGAACCATCGTCTACTTCACCATTTCTCACTGTCTTTCCTGTTTCACACACCGGACATCATCACGCGATTTCCCTTCACCCTCTTCATTTGCCAAAACAGCCTCACAGGAAGGCCCCAGAGTCCCTCCTATTACCAGGTGTGAAGGTTTGTTACTGGTCCTGGTGTGGGGCCTTGAGACCCAGTTTCCTTCTCAGGGGGAAAGAGAGGTTGCAGCCTGAGAGGGCCCCAGGCAGGAGGAAGCTGTAGGCCTGGACCTATGAGGCAGCCAGCTGCTCCCGCCTGCCCGCATGCCAGGATCCAGACTCCTCCCATTAACCATGAAGGGTACTCCTCAAGGGTTGGCCAGGCCCACCCCCACCCCCCCATCCCGCCAGTGGGAGCTCTGTGTAGGAACCCATGTGGGTCTGGGTTCTGGGGTGGGCGATAAGGTCTGTGGCATCAGCTTACATCCTGGAGACCTGGAGAGGTGGGTGGGGAGGGGGGAGGAGAGGCTGGCTGGAGCAGGAGGATGAGGAGGGGCTGGCTTCCGGCCTCTGGCTTCCATCCCAGTTGTTTGCAATTAGTAAGTTTAGTATGAGGGTGGCTCCTCAGGATGGCCCCAGTCACAGGCTGTCAGAGGGCAAAACAGGCAGGCAGCGTCAAGTGGAGCGTTCAAGAAGAGGAAGGGGAGCGGGCGTGAAGAAGACATGGGAGTCGGAGTTGTATGCAAGTCTTCCTGCTCATCTTTTAGCAGGTCTTTACTTATACTGTTTAGCAAGTAGTTAGTTACAATAATGCATCAGGTAAGTTAATAAGAAATCAGCATAAAAGTTCTCAAGGAAGAGGGGAACAGTGCATCCTTTTCCTGACACTTTATGGCACACTAGACTATACATCTTTGCGATAACTTTCATGTATACAGATGTTTAACTATGACTTCAAAGGATAAGGGGTTTGGGAAAAGATGAGTTGTTAGCAAAGGATTTAGGGGTCCTAGGGAAGGCGTAAATTGTGTTAACAGAGTCATCAGTGATTGTCTAAAGAAAAGCTAATGGCTAACTTAAGGCTAGCAGAGAGTAGCTAGTGTTTGTTTTAGGAAAAGGTTAATTAAGACTAGCATAGAGTGGTTAGTGATTGTTTAAGGGAAGGGTAAATTAAGAGGAAGTTATGCATTAAGCAAAACCTGTGTCAATAATGTTAGAAAATTGTCCATGAGTCCTTATGCCCTGGGAGTTTTATCTGAGATTTGCTTTTCATTAAAAAACAAAAACAAAAACAAAAACAAAAAAACAACAAAAAACCTGAGGAAGCTTCCCAGGAGTCTTGATGCTCTGGGGTCTTATCTCTTCTGGAGCTTACCTTTTGTCTCCATACACAGAGGAATTTCCTGCCCTGGCCAGGTAGCCAATTTATGAATCGAAGGCAATCCAGTTGCAAACTGATGGTTGCTCAGAATATTTTTGATATTGTGATTACACAAAAAAGGGAGGTGGTAACATAAGTTAGCAATGGAAATTCTGATTTTTCAAAGCGTTTCCCTTCCATCTGGAATTTGTTGGTGGACAGAAGTTGCACAGTTTATGTCAGTGGTAGGGCAAGGCTTTGCTGGGGTGGACAGGTAATCTGAGCCTTGAGTGGCAAAAAGACTCAGATAAGAGTGGGCTAGAAAGAGGGTGACCTTAGCTCAAGGGGCAAGTTTGAAAATCATGGAGGCCTATGGACTGGGAAGGGGCCTGCTGCCTGGGAGGACAGCCTGAGGGGGCGGGGTGCGGAGAGGAGGAAGGGTGGGAAGCAGGGCAGGGTCAGAATGTAGAGGCCTCTCCTGAAAGCTGACCAGTGGAGGCTCCACTTACAGTGAGGTCAAGCATCAGTCATCTCCCTGTGGAGGGCAGATAAGTGGAAGAGGAGGAAACCAGAGCTCAGCCACCGCAGAACCCAGAAAATCCTCCTCACGAAGACATTGGTCTGGGAGGGGAGTGTAGCTTTCCGAGGAATTCCAGGTTCTCAGAGTGATACACGTGGGCATGGAGGATATAGTTTGGTGAGGCTTAGCTGCAGTTAACTCAGCCGCCCTCTCCCCCACCACCCAGGGCCAGAAAGCCCGCGGGTCTCCAAATCTCCGCCCACGCCTCCCCTCCAGCCTCGCTGTCCACCCTTCTCATCCGTGTCACATCCACAGCAAACCCATGGATTCTCTGCATCTAAGTTAGTGTTTGCTTTATGTATCTTTTGATTGACATATACACACGAGTAACATTCACTGAGAGTTGGGGGTGCCCCAGACTGTTCACACCTCAGAAATGCAATTTAAAATGGAGAATACAATAGACACCCCGTCCTTGGATTCCTCCGTGGCCCCTGTCTCCTCAGCTCCTCATTCCCCTTCCTCTCCCACCCCTCCCTGCCATTCCCCACTCCAGCTCCTTCTTGTGCCTTTTTCCTATGCTTGGGGCTCCACCTTTTACTCCCAAATGGCCCACAGGATTGATTTTCCTCCAATACCAAACAATGCTTGCCTCAAGAACTTCAGTGCTGATGTCGAAATGCTGATTGTGCTCCTCCTCACGGACTGCTGTCTGAAATCCTGGTGACATTGGACCTCCCTGTGGGCAGCAGAGAGTGTCAGGCTCATTTGACACCCCCACTTGCTAGCCTCCACCTGACCCCTCCACAGTTAAGTGTCACAGCTGTGACTCCCAGAGGAAGCTCCCCCCCTCATCTTCTGGGTTCTTCTCTCCCTGACCCAGAACCACCCCCAACATTGGGTCACATGTTCAGTATATGGCAAAAGGATGGGATCTCATGTATCTCTGGAACCCGTTTCTCCTGTTGACAGTGCACCTTCTGAGAGTGTCGGGCATCTGTGCTGTCAGCCAGCTCGCTCTGCCTGGGTGGTGGCTGAAATGCTCTGTGTGGCCTGGAAGGGCTCTCCTGGGTGGGGTGCCTGCTGAAGGCAGGCCTGGCAGGCGCTGGGCACTGCAGTAACCTTTCTTAGGGATGGACCAGGAGCCGCAGTGAAGCTGTGATCTCAGCAAGGGAGTGTGAAGAAGTCTGCATTTCCAGTGTGTCCTTTGACCAGTGAACCTCTGACCTCGGCTACCAAATCACCCTCCTCTTCCCCTGCTCACCTGCATTGGTATTTCCCCAATTTCATGCCACTCTCAAATTCATTCCAATGAATTTGCTGTAGGCAGCTGCAGGCTGAATGGAATGCCACTGGATACCACTGAGACAGATCATTGTGTTTTTACCTTAATTACAAAACAGGATGTGTTCCCTTCAGAAAATCAAAAAATAAGACAAGGACAAGTGACCAACACTTCACAATAGCCTTACCTTCTACACATGATATTTTATATATATCCCACTTTTTTCAATGAAGTTTTTATCCTGTTTCATTGTGTTGTTCCATTTTATGTCCTATTTAACCGCTTTTATGCTTAAACCTACATCATAAATATGCTTCTGTTTCATTATTCTTGTATAACAAGATTTTTCATGGCTATGTAATATTCCATCGATAGCTTTCTAGGGTAACTGTTTCCTGGATTATTTATTTGCTCTAGAAACCATTGTGTATTTGTTCTAAAAATCAATTTCCTTGCCTCAGCTATTGACAGAAAGAAGCTTTTATTCCTTTCTTCATTTCCTGTTTGCCCACTCATGATGCACAGAACTGATGTTTGCAAGTCATTCCTACAGCTTTGACTTGGAAACAGAACAAGAAGCATACTGTTTTTCATCCTTGGAAGTGAGATTCCAAAATCAGCTAGGAACCCCCCCACATCTTTCCCTGCTCACACACACATGCACACTGATGGCTCACATGCACACTGATGGCTCCTTCAAATGCTGGGCTGAATACGTTTATTTTCCCAGGAAGGAGGACTTACTGCTTCCTGTTTACTTTCCTTTTCCCTTTGCTCCTCTTCCAGAACCCAAAGATGACATTCTCCTCCCCCGTTATTAACAACTCTATTAGTCTGATAAATTTGCTGTAATCGTTGAACCAATGTCAATAGCTTATGATTAACTAAAATCCATAGTTTACACCAGGGTTCACTCTTGGCTTGATACCACCTATGGGTTTTGACTGACGGATAATGGCATGTGTTCACCATCACAGTTTCACACCGAAGAGTGGCTTGACAGTCCCCTAGCTGTGCCCACGCGCCCCTCCCCCACCAGCCCTGGCCACCACTGATCTTTTGACCGACTCCACAGTTTTGCCTTTTCCAGAATGTCACAGAGTTGAGTCATAGAGTCGCCCTTACTGACTGGCTCCTTTCATTTCTCAACATGCATTAAGTCTCCTCCATGTCTTTTCCCGGCGTGAGGGCTCACTTTCTGTTATTGCTGAATAACATTCTATTCTATTGTCTGGGCAAAGCACATCAGAGTCTCCTTTTGTTCATTTTCATGAGGCTGATTTTTTTTTTTAAAGGTGGAAACATTCACTATTCCCATATTACTTAAAATGAAATATCATCACTGTTTATTAAGCCAGTGGTGGTACAGTGACTGGGTACCACATGCATTGTCTCATCCCTGGCTTCCTTGGGAGGCTGCACCCCCTGAGCCTCAGATATGTGCAGCCAGCCTGGAGTCGGCCCGTTCACTCCATGACCCCCAGGAGTTTCTCCCACTCTCTCTTCCTCGCCCTCTGTGCCCAGATTGCACCTTCGGGGCTCCTCCCCCAATAGGGCTGCCTGGTGTGCGTTTTCACCCACTTTCCTGCCCTCTGTGCCTCTTGGGGAAGCCCCCAACCCTGTCTCCTGGTGTGCCCACCTGAAGGAAACTGGTCCAGGACTGGCCATTTGCCCAGGCATGTCTGTGAAAACTTGGACGCCTTCTGTGGCTGAGAGCCTGAGCTTGCCATTTTGAGGAGAAGACCTCTCACTCTTTATGTTGAGACAGCCTGACGGCCGACACAGAGGATTGTCTTCTATACTTTTCTTTCCCCATGTGTACTGATGCTAAGCACCTGGCTGCACCGAGGGAGGATGACGTCTCTCGGCCCCATCTGGACTTCGCTGTAGGGGCCCCAAGAGCGGTCAGCAGCCTGGGCTCCCACAGAGGACGGAGCAGATGTCCACGTGGGATTCCAGCTTTCGCTCCGGGAGACCGCGAAGCTGCTCCTGCTCTCCCATGACTCAGCTGATTGGATATAGGAAGCTCTCGGGTGGGGACTCGCCATGCTGTGTGATGCCACAGGCGGCCTCTCTCTGGCATGGTCTTCAGGATGCCGACCTGTGCTCCCTCACCTCCCCACTCCCTTGATTGCTGGCTTGGGCTGAGTGCTTCCTTTCTGACTGGCATGGCAGGACCACACTCCAGCACCCAAGCCCTGCACCCACGTGGGGCTGCCACTGCAATTCTCCCCAGCAAGAGCAGCAGGAGAGGAGGGGAGGCCAGGAGGCCTGCAGGCCCGAGAGCACCAGGCATGATTTCTTCCTCCATGGTCCCACCGGAGCAACCATCGGGGACTGGGCAGTTCTCTGGCGAGTCCGGTTCTGGCCCCAAGTTTACTACCATCTAGCAGTTTACTTGTGTGTGAAGTGGGGTGAACTTGTCCTGCCATAGAGTCACGTAGGGGTCACGTGGGTGTGTGAGGCATGGGTGAAAACTGATGTCCTTGCCTTTCTCCCAAAGCACATCAGAAAGGAAGCTCAAACGGGCTTGGTTGCTCTAGCGCTTCCCAGTGGGATGATGGAGGAAGCAGGGACTGCGGGCCCTTGGCTCTCCTCCTGGGCCTGTGTGCCAGCCACTGATGGGTGGTAACTGGGCACACACCTTCATTGCAGGAGTGAGTCTGCCTTTGAGAAGGCCAACGTCGACGTGTTCCGTGTGAGAACCAACAACGTGGGCCTCATCTACAAAATCAGGTGATAACCTGGCTTGTGATTGGGCCGTGGGGAGGGAGGGGGGATTAAGGCAAGTAGGTGACTTCATCTGTACTTTGTAGGCGCTGATGGCTCTTCTAGGTCACGGGTTGCCAAAACCCAAATCCTTTCCTCCCACCCTGAGTCAGTGCTCCAAACTTGTCCACGAGTGATCTATACACTTCTTTGGGTTAAGACAGTTTGGAAAAATTCTTCACAAACATGGGAAAAATGCCCTGAGTGACCCTGGCACAGACCAGATTGTCTTGGTTCAGATTGCTGTCCAGCCGTTTATTCACTGTGGGACAGTTTCCTGTTCTGAGCCTCAGTTTCCCCATATATAATGATGGTGCCAAGTAGGTTAGTGAGGACTAATGAGTTTGCGTTTAGAGCAGTAGCTGGTACACACCAGGTGCCAAGGCACCTGGTAGGATGCATTTTCCTCCTGCATTTACCCCCGTTCATATTCATGCCAGTTGTGAGAATGTCAAGATTACCTGATTGTGTCCGGATGAAGGCCTTGACAGCAGTCAAACACGGCCTTAGTTCAGCCTTGACTTTCTCTCTCTGCTAGAAGATGCAGGTTTATGATTGGAAACGTCCCGGGGGAAACAGGAGGCCTATGACGTGCTGGCACTGGCAGTGTGGGGCTCGGGGGTGCAGGCTCTTGCTGGGGAGAGTCAGGAAGTGGGCCCATGTATGGAGAGTGACAGCCAACAAGCTGAGGTGCCACCCTTGTGTGTCTGCACCCCTCATCTGGTGCTTGTTTGGGCTGTGGGTGTCCACTTGGGCTGTGGGGGTCTCACCGCAATGGGCAGGGATGAGAGGCGAGGTGCAAGGGGAGGTTGTGTACGGTCAAGTTCTGGAAAAGAAACTTTCTTCGAGGAGAAACTAGGACTACCAAGGATGAAGGAGCCCTAGGAAAGGGGGGGAGTATCCGGGGGGCAGAATTTGAAGGGTGTGGATTTATGTTGCCCAAATACATAACCGTGGGCACTTATAATGAGCTGGTCTGTAGGTGTGCTTATGGACGAGAAGACACAGGAACACGTGGCCCAAGAGAAAGACTCTTAAATCTCTCCTTAACAATTTTTTTTCATGGTTATATGTTGAAATGACAAATCAATCAAATGAAGTATATTATTAAAATTAATTTTTAAAAAGATATATTTATTTTTGCATTCAGAACTGGGGTACAGGTCAGAGGTACAGGGGTGGTGAGAGGATTCACCAGAGACAGAGTAGGGAGCAGAACAGGCCAACTGATGAAGTGCACGGCTGAGGGGAGCAGCAGGCGGGTCAGGAGAGGTCTGCCACGCCATGTGGTCACCTCCAGGGCTGGCGGGGATCGAACTCATGCTGAAGTGGCTTTAACTTCTTAGTGCTGTGCTTTAACCCACTGCGCCACCAGGGAGGGCCCTGTTAAAATTAATTTTACCAGGTCCCTTTGCTTCTTTGCAAATGTGACTTCTCCAAAATCTACAGTGACCTGTGTGGCTCAGACATACAGCTCTTGTGACATGTCTATGGGACACTGCCAGTGTAGGTGGCCATGGGGGAGCCTCTGAGTGGAGCTTAGGAGAGTATTTGAGAGTTCTGGGGGGTCAGCAAGACAGGGGGAGTTCAAGATGGTTCCCGTGCAAGCCCTAGTGATCCCAGATGTTGTATGGAAGATGATACTTCCTTGCAGGCAAAGCCACAAATCCCATTCATTCATAAGCACACCCACTCTGCGAAGTAGCCCCAACTTCATAAATGAGAAAACTGAGGTTTGAGAGGTAACTCCAACAACGGCAGCAACAGTAAGTCATTGAACTTCTGGGCATAAACACTTGGGCTTTCTAGTGTGAAAGGGGCGTCATCTCTCTTCTGTCAGTGACGGTCTGGGCGTCTGCTTCTGCCCCAGGATTGAGCATGACAACACGGGCTTGAACGCCAGCTGGTACCTGGACCGTGTAATTGTGACGGACATGAAGCGGCCTCATCTCCGATACTACTTCAACTGCAGCAACTGGCTGAGCAAGGTAGAAGGTGACCGACAGTGGTGCCGGGACCTTCTGGCCAGCTTCAACCCCATGGACATGCCCAGAGGTCAGTGCCAAGGCTGCTCTGCCTGCCTGGCTGGGCAGGGCTCACTGGCTCTGGTCAGTTTGTCATTCCCTGAAGGGGCTCCCTGTTGGCATGGGCTCCCTGTTGGCGTGGGCTCAGGAGCCTACCTCATCCTCTTGGCTGTCCCAGCAGCAAGCCTGGGTGCAATGGGGGCTCAAGGAGGTGGGGTGCATAAGAGGCATGGTGGAGCGACAGCACAGCCTTGAGCATAGCTGTATTAGCGTATATTAAAATTAGCACAAAGCATTATATAAGCGTCTTCTGCTCCCCTTCCCCCACCAGCACTCTGGGAAATGCTACCAGCCTTGATAGAGAAAGGAAAGCAGAGATCATAAGGGAGGGGAACCAGGGCGGGGGGGCAGGTGGGTAATAAGATGTCTGGGTTTTCTTCACGGGTCCTTGCTGCATTTCATCCTCACCCCACCTCCGGGGCCGGGAAGGTGAGGAGAGCAGACAGGTGTTAGTTACATAGGCAAACCCTGGAGTCCGTAGAGGTGGTGGTGACTCATCCAAGATCAAATAGCCATTGGCTGATGGGACCAGAATGAGTCTCCCCATTCTTCTGGAATATGCTTTCTGCCTGCATACTTGGCAGGGCAAGATCAAGGTCAGATAGCGTCCACCTCAGAGACCAGAGCCTGTAGGATCGTGGCTAGGGGCTGAGGTGATCAGCTGGGGGAAGCCCTTCCACTCTATCCCACTGGTAGAGTTCGAATCCAGCTTTGGTTTGAATCCAGCCTTTCCTGAATGGTGGCCAGTTCCCCACACCCAGGGCAACCCATTCTACTCCTGAATGGTCAGAAAGGCCTTCCCGAAATTAAACCCTATAAATCTCCCAAAGACATTTGCTTACTTGTCCCTGCCCCTCCCACAGCAGTGAGCGATTTCACATGAGCCCTGCTCTGTCTGCTGATGCACTTCTCTCCACCCAACATCACATCCCCCCTTCACCCCTCTTCTCCATTCTGCCTCCTCAAATAGCTCTGTTTTGTCACTGCCCTTCAAGAATGTAACTCTGGTTCACATGGGGGCTGATCAGAGCAAGTATGGGACCCTCCCTCACTCCATTCTCCTGCTTTCTTTTATTGTGGTAAAGTAATTATAGCAAATTTTACCATCTTAACCATTTCTGGACAAATATTTCATATTTGCCATCATCCCCATTTGTGGCCAGAAAGTTTTAATCTTCCCCAGCTGAAACTCTGTACCTATTAAATAATAACACTCCTATTCCTGTTCCCTGAAGTTCCTGGTATTTTCTTCTTGTCTTCAAATTTGGCTACTTTAAGATCGAGTAAGCAGAAAGTCAATTAGCTTCTTCCTCATGATTTCTTCTAAGAGTGCTGTCATTTTACTCTTAAGTCTAGGTCTCTGATCATTGGAATTCACTTTTGTATGTGATGTGAAGTAAGGGTCCACATTTACTCTTTCCATGTAAATTTCCAGTTTTGCCAGTATCATCTGTGGAAAAGACTGTTTTTTACCCATGGAATGGTCTTGGCACCTTTGTTGAAAGTCATTTGATCACACACTGGGCTTTATGTCTGGTCTCTATTCTGTTTCACTACCCTTATGTCAACAACAGACAGTTTTGATTACTGTAGCTTTGTAGGAAGTTCTGAAATCTGTATGAATTCAAAGGCCTCCAACTTTGTTACTCTTTTTTGAGATTGTCTTAGGGCTCTTGACCCTCTCTTTAATGCAGTCTAAATTTTCATGAACTATTTTAACATTACAAGATGCCATTTGATTTTGCAGTCAAAATGTTCTTCACCTGGAAGAAAAGCTGAAAATGTTGTCTTACCTTAAGTCCTCAATTCTTGTCCAGGACTTCAAGGATATTGGAACAAGCTGGATTCTCCTGACTCATCTCCACTTGAGTCAGCACAAGCGGGTGTCCTAGTCTTGGCTGGCAAACCCCACATCTCAATAGAATGGTCCAGACAGATATCACACCTCCCAATTAAACTTCTTAGCCGTATATGTAGCCCAATAAGGAGTTGGCAGTCATCTTTCTGCTTGTCTCCCTCTTGGAGTAGGTGTCAGAGGTCCTAGAACCTTCTGGGGCCTGTGGAGGAACAGTAGTCAATTTTTCAGCATGTATGCATTGACTACTTCTGGCAACATTGTCTTGGCTATCAAACTCCCCCAGAAGTATAGTGAATTTTTCCTCCTGTCATCTGTTTATTGCCACCCACATCTCTGTTCCCTTGCTATGGATGCTCAAATTCCTTCTTGGTGGATTTCTTCTATCCTGTCTAGAATGGCTCAACCCAGAAGCCAGAGGGCAGAGCAGCTGCATTGACATCTATGCATTGAGGCAGCTCCTGGTCAGAATCTTAGCACCATTTCCCAGGCTTCAACTGAAGCATCACCACTAGCAGCTGTCATCGGTGATACGCTCCGAGTGGCTCTCAGATGCTGGGTCTGGGGTAGGACATGGTCCATGTCCTCTGAGTGCTTTCAGTCTGGAAGAGGGCACCCATTGCTGAGGGTAAGGTGCCTACCAGGAGGCAGAGGGTGTCACGGTTCAGCACACCTCGTCTCAGTTATGGAGTCCGAGGTCCAGATCCCAAACCACCTCTAGCTCTGTAACAGACACTCTGCTCCTGTAGCCTGGGAATTCTCTTTATAACTGTACCCCCACTAGAATCCACACCCCCTAGGAGGCAGGACCTATTGTTATTCCCACTTTTGCACCTGCAGGGACAGTCAAGTAAGCGTGAACAGGCCACCCCTCTCCCTCCCCCGCTTCCTGGCCTCAGGCTCGCAGCTCCCATTTCTCAACCTGTTTGCTCAGACTGTGTTGGCTCCGGTGTCTGGCAGGCGGTGGCTCTGAAAGCTGTTCTCCCCAGCACTCAGTCACCAAGAGGAGGTTTCAAGGGACCCACGGGAAATGGGACTGAAGATGAGACACTCTCTCCCCACCTGCTCCCAGATCATGGGGCGGAAGCCAGACTGCTGACAGCAGTTTCTGGGTTTCTGGCTCCAGCCCATCAAGCCCAACGAGGAGCCCCTTGGGTTGTTACCCCAGAGTCTGCTGCCTGGGTGGGTTCTCCTTGCTCCCAGGCTTCTGTTGCAAGTTGGGAAGAGACAAAGAAAACTGCCTCCTGCTAAAACATATGCCATGGCAGAGGACAGGTCAGGACCGCGGGCCCCCACCCCCCACTGTTTCATCTTCTTCCGTTCCCCATGTCACCGGTCCCTACTGCACTTAGAGCAAAGCCCCAGCCTTTCCAAAAAGCGCGACCTGCCCCCCCAGCTTCTTCTCCTGAAAACTGGAGAAAGCGAAATTGGCAGCATCGCAGGTAGTGCAGGGATTCTCAGTAGGCCCAACCGTTCCCCCAGCTGCAGTCAGGAGACTGCCGGCAGAGAGGGAGGGGCTGTTAACCTGCTTCTTAAGATTCAGACCCAGTCTGGCCAAATCGCAGCAGAATGAGCCACCACGGCCGAGGGGGTCTTGAGGGGGGTAAATGGCTGAGAAACACATATCCCAGGGACTCCTGTTGGCATGCTGGGCTCTAACTACTTCCTCAGTGCCTGGGTGTTCTGCCCAGCCAAGTTCAGTTTCCTGTGGGGGTGATGCTGGGATCTACCCAACTGTGATGCTCTTCCACCTGTAGGTGTGGCTGTTGGCATTTAGGGGCTTGAGTGAAGGTCCGTGAGAAACAGGCTCTGTGTGCAGGGGGTGGGGGTGCTGTGTGTGGACACACCCCCTTATGAAGACCAGGAGAGGAGACGGGTGGAAAGGGCTCTGCCGGAGGCCAGAGAGCTACCTCCTAGTCTCACCCTCGGGAGCACCTCAAGCAGGTGGCCTCTCTCACCTGGCTGCCTCCTCGCCTGATTGGACGGTTGGACAGGGTAGTCTCTGAGGTCCCTTGCAGGGCTGGCTTTGCCAGACACTCTGCTAGCAAAGTGCCTGCTGGTCCCTTTCCCGGATCCTGGTGTCTCCTGCCCACCAACTTGGGTGTTGTCAGTCTTGGCTGAGAATGACAATGTACCCAAGGAGGCTCTGGGTACGCCCCTGGGGCTGGGGTTCAGGGAACAGGCAGTACTGAAGGATGGTGGGGTGGGGACATCCCATTTAGATGAGGTGGGACAAGGTGGGACCCAGTGCTGGGTCCTGAAGATCTTGGACCTAGAAATTGCTGTCTGATGGGGAGGTGTGGGCAAGGCCTGCTTAGGACAGACCTTTCCTGGCCTTCTCAATGCTAATATGATGCCATCTCCTGCTTTCTGGCCAAGTAAGTGTCCCCCTCCCTGTGACAACCTACAGACCCTCCCACCATGGAAAGCATTGAAATGATCACGTGGCTTAAACTTGTTCTGAGTCCACACCACATTGCTTCAGGGAAGCTCTGTCAATTTGGCAGTGAGAATGGCCCCTGAAGCAGAGAACCGAGTTCCAGCTGGCCTGGGGCTGTTCGCACCACGGGGCCATGAGCGCATCCATGTTTCAGACCCAGGCCTTGCTGGTATCAGAGGGGGCTCTGTTTCAGGTGCGCCCTATCCCCTTCCCTGACCCCAGATGGGACTTATTCCCTGGACTTTGTTAGGGAAAAGCCTGTGCTAAGGACTTTTTTCTTCCTTGGTGGATTAATAATAAATACAGCTGCACTCAGTTTTGTGTGAGTCTCCAAAGAGACGGAGGGGCTGGGTATTAGGTGTGTGCCCCCGTGGAAGCCAGGCTTGGGCAGGTGGGCTGGGAGCTGGCAGGTGGTGGGATTGGGTGGACCACACTTTTGTCCAGATTCCCAGTCTGAATTGTCTTTTCTTTCTTGTACTAAGTGAAGCAGCTAGTGCTGGTGGCCAAAGCTGCCAACAGGCTGGGAGCAGGTAGCGATGGGGCCGTATTTGTCCAGTGTTATCACTGCTTCCACTCTGGAACATTTTGTCAGGTAACTGGGGTGTCATTTCACTATCACCCAGCTCCAGATGTGCACTGGATCTTGGCAAGACCACACTGGGCAAGGTGCCCAGTG